TGCATCGATAAAGACTGCATTTAAGTGCTCTGTGGCAGCCCTAGCCAATGAATGATTATAGCTTACATTTCATTCCAAAGTCACACATAATATACAATTCACAATATTTTTGACATTCACAGGATAACTTAAGCTCAGAGAATCATGCCTATCATCTGGGTGGCTTTTTAAGTGTTTAGCATGAATTGACTTGTCATTAAACATGACTGATGTTTGAAGTGTTTAAATAGATTGGTGGGTATTCTGGTGTAAGCGAAGAAGCAACAGGTTCCTCTGTGTTTTGTCTCTGTTGCTGATAGGTTCTATTTCCTTCCGAGCCGTGTTTCTTATTGTCCTGTGGAGATCTCCATGTAAGCCCAACGGCCTCCTCTGGCGGTAGTGTTACAGGAATAGGAGGTGGGGCAACTTGTGGTGGTTTGATGTCATGGCTCCTGTAGCGGGGAAGATCATACAACAAATCTGTAGCTCTTCTCTCATCTGGTGAAGCAGAGGGGAGATGTAATCGTGGCAGGGGTTTGATGTCCGGCTCAGACTTGCGATAATAAACACCGGTGTCAACTTGTGGACTGTGGTCATCAACTGTAGGAGATCCATCCCCACTGAAATCCACCGTGTCCCACATTTTTCTCTCTGATGACATGACTTTTAGGGCACTGAGGCCTTTTCTTTCCTTCCTATCAGAGAGCAAAAGAGGGCTTGGATTCTCATATGTGGTGTTGGGTGAGTTGTAAAGCCTGTGAAGAGCACCTCCGGATGCAGAAGAAGTACTATTGGCACTAATGGGTGAGAATTTATGTGTTGGCTTTACATCTGATTTCCAACTGTCTTGCTTTATTTTAAAGTCACTTTTGATGCTGGAGGAGTACAGCTGGGGAAGTTCTGGTTTTGCAGGTGAAGCCTGCTGTGGAGGTGTTGTATTCAGACCTGTCTTTAGTGCTGGTGTAGAGATTTTAGACAGATGATGACCAACACCAGTCCATTTTATCTCTGGTGGTATATCTGCATTTGCATTGTGTCTTTGTTCAGTCCTTCTCCTTACTTCATCCTCAAAGCTCAGACTGGATACTCTCTTTGGAGCAAGTGATGAATTTCTGTCCTTTTCACTTTCCTGTGCAACATTTACCATTTGGCTCTTGCCACTGGGGGAGAAAGAACTATCAGATAGCGATGAAGTTTTCATAATTGAACGCTTATAGATTGGAAAGTCAACATATGTCATGCCTGGAGGAGCTCTGTTTTCTGTTATCTCATCTTCACTGCTGCTGCTGCTGGAAGAGGAATCAGAGGGTTTCACATGTTTGTTTTCAGGATTCAGAGAAGGGGAGTCTGGCAGAGGTGATGAGGGCAATTTGGATGGTTGAGAACTCGGTGATGTGATTTTAAGGCGCTTTCTAAATTGGGAGACACCAAGATTCATTGTGGCCCATCGTGACTGGAGCTCAGAGTTTATCTCTGGTGTTGTGCTGACGTTGTCTTTTCGATTTTCCCTTAACTCATCTGTTATAACAACATACTTTTCTAATGTAATATTGGAATCTTTCTTTGAAATGTGAGGAAGCTTAAACAATGTAGAAGTTGGAGAGCCTAAGTTGGTAGCCATTTTAACAGGCTGGTCTGTAGTCCGACCTTCACTCTCATCACTGCTGGAGGAGGACTTAGGTGAACGTGTCTTGATATCCAGACGCTTTTTGACATAGGGGATAGTGCTGAGGCCCATTTCGGGCAATCTTGAATCTGGTTTAACTGCAACTGGGCGGTTTCTTAAATCTTCCATCCCCTCCTCATGTGAGGTGCTTGATGTGTAAATAGGATCATGACGTTTGGTTTGAGATTGTTGAAACCCCGTTGAGCCCAAACTCTGCTTCTTTGCCTGGCCCCTTTTTTCATCTTCACTGTCACTACTTGAAGATGACTCAGAAGCTGATGATACTGATTTGATGTCTGCAGTATGATGAACATATTGGGTTTTTGTGTAAAGCAAATCAGTTTCTTGCCTTGGACTATATATATCTGCTTGTTTGTGTTTCTTTATGTGTTTCGTTGTTTCCTCCTCACTGTCACTGCTAGAAGATGTGTCCGACTCTACAGGTGGTGCTTTGATATCTAGGCGCCGCTTAACTCGAGGAAGGTGTAGAAAATCAATGGTAGGCCACTTTGCATTTGGATCAGGACTCTTTGTTTGAGATTCTCTGAATGTGCGGGGTGGAATGCCCAACTTCCCTGGACTCTGCT